TATATATATATATATATATATATATATATATATAGGCATGTGTTATTTTTATAATTCAATAGTGATATATATTGTTAATATCATATCAGTTTTGCCAGTTTCTTCATTGCACTTATAGAATAACCTCAGATATTGATATTATACCATACAATTGGCTACAACAGATTATTAAAAATCACTGGTCATAATTTTGACTTTTTGGAATTTAATGTTGAGGAACCTACAGTAAGAAAAAAACGTATGAAAAATTTATAGCTGTATCATCCCTATATTCATGATTGCATTCTTTTGGGCACTGCCATCCCTACATTGGTTGTTTTTTGATGTTTTTCCAAACTGAAGGTTAATATATTCTATGAATGTGTGTAATAAATTTAATATTATGTGTATTGATTTTTTTTCTCCTTCACTTCTTGCATAATATAGGGGTTGGCTCCCTAAAGACAGATTGTATAGTGTACAAAGCATTGAGTACTCTATATATTACAGTCATCTAATGTTCATCTCATCTATTATTGGCTGGTAATTCCTGTTTCACCCTGCACTTAAACTTTTTAAAGGAACACCAGATCTATGTAAGAAAGCTAACTTCAAGAGGTAACGATAACATTATTTACTCTAGAATTATGATTTTTTTTTATTTTTAGCTCAAACTAAGCAATACTGTGCTTAGTGATAGCCTGTTTGCAATTACTCTTAAAATGCTTTTCTGTCATACTACAGCCATTGCAAAAACTTCACACATTTTTCTGGCTAGCATGGGAAAAGAAAAATGAAAGATGAACAATTTGGCTCTTTAGTTAAATCCCAGTTCTCCATCTTAGCAGCACTTTTCAATGATACTGGAAGTATCACAAGCTGTGAAACACTCGATATAGGCAATAAGGTGCTCAAATAAGGCTATAACTCAACTTTAGCAGTTATTTTAAGCATACATCTCTACATACTAACCATTACCATGCTTAGTGATAGTACACCTATGGATAAATGATAATAAAGAATGAACTGACACATCTAAATGAAAACTTGTTCCAGTTTAACTTGTGCAACGTTTCGAGTAGCTGCCCTTTGTCAGGTAGTAAGGACCAAGTTACAATGGAATTGGGCTCAGAAATAATCATTACAAGGTAAGAAAATACAAAGGTTCTAGTTACACACATTCAATGTGGAGCATGGTAACAAAAGTACTGGTAAAAATATTATTGAACATATTACATAAACATTATTAAAATTAGCATGGAAAAGACGTAATTAGAACAAATACATCTGGATTTATAAATATAAACACAGGAAAAGAATAAAATGTAAATTTGCAAAATAATAGTCCAGGGAAATAACTGTGGGAAGAAAAAGACTTTCTCATAGGTAAGGTTGAAGAGGGAGATTTAACCAGGAGTAAGAAGTAAGGTAAATGCCTCTAAAGAAAAGGCTAAAGGGAATGAAATTGGAGAAAGGGTTGACACTTCAATTCTACCAATTACAAAGGTACCTCCAACATGGCAGTCTCAGTTAACATGAAAAAGCCTTGAACATCATCTTCATTTCCAACTCAACACCAAATCCACTTATGATATAAACGAAATATTTACTTTCAAATAAATATAAAACTCCATCAATTTTTGTCACCGTGTTCCACGTTGAAAATGTGTAATTAGAACTTTTGTATTATCTTACCTCTTAACAATTATTTCTGAACCTAATTCCACTGTAACACAGTCTTTAGGGCCTGATGAAGTGTGTCTGCTTGAAAAGTCACACAAAATCAACTAGAAAAGTTTTCATCATGTCAATTCATTCTTTATTATCATTTCTTCTCCTGTCTTTCAGAACAACACTCCTTCAATAGTACACCTATATCTGACATGTAACAGAAATGTGATGATTACAAAACAAAAACATTTTTTATATATTTTTTCATTTTACTTTTGTTAATGTCATCTATCCTTAGTTTTAATTATATGCTGACTACTGATAGCTTTTTAAAATATCACATTGATCACTGATATCTCATACAAGTTTGGAAATACTGACACTCTTATGAAACAATTGAAAGTCGTTTTTAGAGGAATCTTTTTAGCAGTTAAAAGAGATTAATTATTTTCTTCCATTCTCAAGCTATAAGGCTGAAATATGTTACTTACTTTTGGCATCAATAAGACGTTCTTTGGGCAAAAGATCAGAGGAAGATAATTGTTCTTTGACCTTAGCTATGTCCTTAGGATGAAGAATATCAAACCAGCTTTGACCCAAAAGGTCTCCCTAGAACAAACCAGATAATGAGAAAAAAACATTTGAAGCAACAAAAGAAATATCTTAAACATGGATAGATATGATATTCTATTTCACACAGCAGGAAAGAAGCAATTTATGTTTATGTCACATACATATTTCATCCTTTTTCAACATGCTGCAACCACAATAGACATTGCACATTTTTCAAAATACATAAAACTGTGACAATTAATACTAAATAAAAATACTTGTTAACAAGTTAATCTAAAGTACTATACTAATATACCAAAAGTAAGTATAACTTAGTACATTTTTTTTTCTTTATTAATCCACCCTCATATCTGATGCTGGACGTTATAGTCACCTTGTGAACGAAACACACTACACTGACCAAAATAGAGGAACAGAACACTTTCAGCTAGTAGTAATGAGCTATTGTCTTTGAATTTGCACATGAATTTATAAGTCACCACTACTCAGGGTTTATAAACATTAGCAGATTCAATAAAGAATTCAACTAATGGATTATCAAAAAGGAATGATTACTGTATGTAGCATTGGCAGTGTGAGTATCAGAGACATGACAACCCACTTATTCATATCCATAAATGCAAGGAATCAGCTTTTATGATATCTTAAAAACCTAAATTAGGAAAAACAATAAGAAAACAAGAGAGAACCTCAATAGCTGTGGCACTTGAAATTCTTTTAGGTAGGATTAGTGTAAATTAATCTACGAGACCTTTTTTCCTTTTGATTAGCAATATTTTTGTGTGCCAGCAACATCATGTGTGTGAGACACACGTATACGAGGTTATTTTTATTACTTACCTAACTGAACCAAGCCTACCCTCAAACTGAAATTCTTTTAGGTATGATTAGAGTAAATTCATCTATGAGACCTTGGGCATGATCAGGGCTTTTTTTTAGATGGTACACACCGGCACCATTTTTCATATTGCAAAATGGAGAGAAAGGTGATAAAACTTGAAACAGTAATGTGATTGAATGTGTGAATTTTCCCCTTTGAACAAATCTTTTGTTCACAAGAAGACCAAAGAGACACCGAATTAGAAGTGTTACAGATGACAAAGTTTAAAGAAGTGTGAAAACATACTGTTTGTTTGATCATGTATGTGTGATCATCAGTGCCGTATGAGGTGTGAAGCATCAGATAGGATTAGCATGTCATTAATAGAGAAATCAATGTTTACCTAGTTTTAACACCTACAAGACGTGGCCACTATCAGTCGATGTACGGTAGTGGCCTCACTTTGATTGACAGGTTTCATCTGGGCAGCAGCAGGAGAGAGCCAGCCTGGGTAGATGCAATACTGAGTTCAAAGAAACTGCTTGGGACTGGGAAACAGGTGACCACAAGCCGAGTTGACTGGTATGCGGGTTTGGACTGTACATTCTTTCATACAAAATAAGTGGATGAAGATGATTGATGTCGTTAATTGCACAGCCCCTTCTCAGCCAAAATAAAAATATGCATGTGAGTCTCAGGAATAAGTCAATTTGGTCTGACATGCTCAGTCGAGGTGTAGATGCCAATTTGAGTAGATGTGCATTTTTCTTCTACTGTGCTTTGATTTTATTGTGACCAGGAGTGTGTATCATTTTTATTGAGTCTTGAGAAAACACCCCAATGTAAAAATTAAATGAATTACAAGTTTCTTTTCATCTTCCATGAATAAGAAAGCTAGAATAAGCGAGGAAGTGATCCAAAAAACAGGAATTAAGGGTGTCGGTCACATTTTCTGTTCCTGGTCCATCTGGTGTACACGAAATATCTGACAACGACTGGCCTAGCTGCTGGACTGCTGATTGAAAAAAAGATTTTTTGCAGAAAGTAAGATTGGCTGAATATTAGAAATAAGAAATTTGGCTGTACATCTTTCCATAAAATTGGAACTTTTAGAGTGGAAATGAAGGGAGGAATGAAAGTTTCTAAAGAATGGGCCAACAATGAAATATCTTATTTTGTTGAAAGTTGACAACAACAGCTTTTGTCTTTGTGGAAAAAAAAACTTTTCGATCACAAGGAAACTGTGGGACATAAAGCTGCAGTAAGAAGCTAAGAAAGAGACCATTGAAAATGTGTGTTTGAAAGTATTATCTTGCGAAAAAGTGATTACTGCAAGAATATTTTGCACAGCATGTAAGTTAACAAAATAAACCCAATCATTTCATAATTTTGAATCTGAAATAAATTTACAAGAACTAAATGGAATTGACATGGGGCGTATCTTTCACTCAACAAATGTATATCCTAAATCACAATAGTGATGAAATTAAAAAAATACTAATTAACCCTGTCGCTCCGGGTACCCTTTACTGCGCATTACACAAGGTTTTAGTGTCTTACATTCAAAATTTTATTAAATTACTTTTTGTTTATGTTATACCAATTAGAATAGCATAAAATCTTAGCTAATAATCAATATTTTAATAGTATATAAGTTTAAGTTCTTAATTCTACAAGGAAATATATAAAAAAATCCTGAATTTCCACTAGTGTGATACACGTGACACATTTTGTCTCAGCATGTCCTCATCCATATTTTATCCATCACCCCTCGAAAATGTATGAAATTAAACATAAAATACACTCTTTAAAATCGTTATTGCTCAAACAAACCATAATTTTAATAGCCTTCAATTTTGTTTTGTTAGAGAGCTTTCAAATGGAAAATCAGACATCTCCTGCCACACCCACCTGTCACATCCTATCTTTGACAATTTGTTGATACTTCTCTCTCTCATGTTTCATTATACATTACCTATAACCAACAGAAAGTAAAGGTTTTCATCTATCAAATGGTGTATTGTATAATGTTGTGTTCTGAACAGATAATCGCCAATTTCACTCAGATTAGCAACATCGTTCCCATGGAAAAGTTAACAACTAGCTTGAGTGAATTTGTAAAGGTTCTTGTTGCATAGTTAGAAAGCCAGGAAAATTTTGAAAGGTAAGTGAATTTATCTACTTTTTGCATGTTATTAGTCTATATTCTTTGGTGCTATATTTAATTAAGTAAAAATTGTTATGTGCTTTACTATAAAAATCAGGCTTAACTCTCCTTGACAATCGAGGGCAAGAAAAAAAAGATTGGGTAAGTACTTTATTTATTATTATAAAAGTAACTATAATTAAAAATATGGATCTTTTAAAGTTATTTAAGACTAGATTAGGTAAAATAAGTAATAATAATAATATAATTAAAATGGTTCATGAGTCATACACACGAGCAGCTCGTGGGTAATGTAATTCAATAGCATAATGGGAGCTGCACGTTCCCCGAGTGATTTACAATTTATAATGGCATGGATGGTAGTTAGACACAGTTCAAAGGGAAATAGAAAGGGCAATAAAACAATAAAATTTAATTATAAATAGATGTATAATGTTACAAACTTAGAGCTACTTAAGATAAAGGAATATAGTTTCATGTTATAATTTGAAGTCATTCTAGAAAGAAAAAAAGGTTAATTTAGGTTTATTTTGATTTTTTTATGGCGGTTACGAGGTCAGTCGAATTGACCAATCCCATTTTGAGATAGGGTAGAGAAAATAATGGATAAATTATAAGGATTTAGTGGAATAAAAACGTTTGAAATGCATTTAGGATGTTTTAGAGATGACACAAAGGAAATTTGAGATTTTTGAAGGATGAAAAATATTTTTAATTTTAATAAGAAAATTACTTTGCACACGGACTATTCAAAACAAATACTCAATATCTTCATGGACAAATCTTTATTTTATTTTATTAAAAATACTTCACTAAGAAATATGACTTTTCTGTACGTGAAAGACTTGTAATATTAACTGAAAGACTGCCAAATTTCGTGAAGATATACCCAATATATTTAGAATTATAAGTATTAAATATATAAAGACTTTAAACGAGTTCAAATGTCATGTGACTCTGTCAAATTGACCGATCTCATGTTGAGAGAGTTAATATAGTTATTAAATCAAAAATACATTTCATTGATATTCGACGAGTCAATTTCTTTGAGTAAAAAATCTACCTTAATAGTGTAAGTTCGAATCTGGATAATGGAATGAACTCGCCGGTAAATTTATTTTGGACTTGATCAAACTTGAAAATTTACTGCAAAAGGAATTTTTGATTCTTTACTCGATTGTCTTCAGTCTTACAGAATGAATGAAGACTACCTGAAAAGTTATTTATTTTGTGTGGCATGTGATGGTCCATTTGTGATGTTGGGGAGTAAAAGTGGAGTTAAGAAACTGATGAAAGACAAATTTCCTTTTGTAATTGTGTGGCACTGTGCTAATTACATATTATAACTGTCAGTCAGTGACACTGTATAATCAGTCTCAGGGATCAACAGATTTAAAGCATTTATTGATAAATTTTATGTCTTGTATCATGTGTTGCCTAAAAATAGCAGAGAAGTGAATGTGTGTGAGAACTTGCTGGAGATTCAACTTTTAAAAATTGGCCGAATTTTAAGCACTTGATAGGTGGAATCTAGTTTTCGGTCAGTTTCAGCTGTTTGGGAAAACTATGGAGTGTTAGTGCAACATTTCGAAGAAGCGAACCATGATTCAACAAGAGACAAAAAAGAGCAATGTGCATATGAGGACTTACAGTGAAAAATTACAAGCTCAGAATTTCTATTAGATCTAGGATTGATGTGTGATGCTCTCCCAAGAATGATACCAATTAAGTTTGGACTTACAAAAGCAAGATATAGACTTGTACAAGGTAGATCAAAAGATAAAAGCTCTTGTACAAATTTTTGAAGAAAGACAAATGATTCCAGGCCCATATTATAAAAATGGCACTGAAGCCACCAAAAATCTCCCCTTCCGAGGAGTTTCACTTCACAACAAAGATTGCAAAAAGGATCCTCCAATTAATCTGGAAGCTTTTTACAGAACCTTGAAAAAAATAAATCGAAAATAGGTTGCTTAATTGTGAAGATGGCGATATAGCACAGTGTGCACATGTGCTTGATAAAATACATTGGCCTGAAAACGTTGATGCTCATTTAACATTTGGTGAGATGGAGGTCAGAAAATTATCAATGAGACTTGGTTCCGGAAAAACTGCAGCATTTGAAACATGCTCTGAGTACTATTCCCATTTCTTCCAGTGAATGTAAACGAGAGTTTTCACATATGAATTTGATTGTCACCCCAACCAGAGCTTCATTGATGACAAAAACCATTTTGGCACTTTTGTTTATTAAACTTGTTGGACCACCACTTCCACACTTTGATCCGAAAAAATACGTAGAATCATGGTTGCTCCGAAAATGTCATTCAGCAGTAGACACCAAAAGCAAGGAACAAAGTCAGGATATTGCATCAGATGAAAACATGATGAAAATTTGGAATTTTCTAGAAAAAGGTATTCAGTATGTTTTCATTTCTTAATTTCTTTTATATATATATGAGTACTGGCATCTTTTTTTTTTCTTTTTTACAAAAAAAGCATTGGGCATGATCAAATACATCAATCAACAGGGTTTGACCTCCTGAGTCCAAAACTATAATTAGATTTCAAGTCAGTCAAGAGATGATAGAGCCACAAGCTAAAAGTTTTTATTTGACAAAAGAAAACAACTTAAGTCATTCTATGAGCCACAATGCCACAGCTAAAAAAACACAATGTTTCGCAATAAATCCATCTACCCAATATTTGCATTGAATGCATGGGTCTAGATTTGAAAACAACATGAACAACACTTTGCATATGGCTATGCTGTCTCAGCCATAAAAAGTGAAGACTGATGGGGGAGTGGTTGTCATGGGGTGTCTTGTTTAGATTTGGTCCACTAGTAATTAAGAGAATCATAAACGCCTTGTCATATTATAGCATTCTCGAAATTGCTCTGAGAATAGTTGAGTCTCAATCTTAGCATCATAATGCACCAATGACATCACATGTCATTTCCAGCAATGGTTTTGAGATAAATATTGTTAAGAACCTGCTTTGTCCAGTCCTGTTCTGAATGGAATTGAACCTCTCTTGAGTGTACATTACTTGAAAACTGCCTGGGGATGAAACACAACACATTTAGCAGTATCATTACATTTGGAGTTGTTTTGAATAATTGTGACTGCAAATCTACATGTAGTCCCTCAAACATTGCAAGAATCAGTAACAACGACCAGACTGAGATTAAAGACAAAGTTCAGCCAATTCCTATTAAAATGCAGCACCCATCAATAAGAAAGCACTCTCTTCTCCTGATGTGCTGCCTCATTATTTTGGGTAATATATTGCACTTCCTTTACCATTTATGTCGATTTTAAACATATGCTGCAAATAAAATTATATACATATAATATAAATATAAACTATTCACTTTCTTGATTGCTAGAAGGCAATATTTAAAAATTTATAACTATCTGAATAATAATCAAGTCTATGAAACTATTAAGTTCATTTTCATGGACTTTCAATCTATATGCACCTAAATTTTAAAAAGTTTCCAAAGATAACTGTATCAAGTATATTAGTAAATCATTTTCTCCAAGACTCTTTCTGTGTGCAAACTTAATTGGGCCCAGTTTATTGGAGCTTTCAATAAGCATAATGTCAGTTTTTATGCCTTTGGAAAGACATAGAAGTATTGTAGAAATAAAGGAATTTAAGTTTACAAATTGTTTCTTTTAATTAAACAATTTATGTCAAGTATTCTGACTACCAGAATGCTGTTATTATCTTAATTGACTTTCAGCACCTAATCAAAACTGAACTGCAGGATATTTTAATTATTCTTGCTACTAAGAATAAACTAAAAACCTGAATGGTAATGATACCGATTTTTATAAGACTAGAAATGAAATGGTATATTAACGGGCTAATTACAACAATCATAAAAGACATTAGCAATGGTGATAAGAAACAATGTTGATACTGGGAGAAAAAGCTTTATTCTTGTGTTAATATGACTAAAGAATTTCTATCTAATCTTTTAACGCAATTTAATAATCTAATATGCTAATTTTCACATTCCCTTTTTTATATTATTTTTTTCAGTCTAAGCTGCTAATGATGGTCATAACACCAAATTTTATATAGAACAAGCAAAAGTACCCAACCTCAACAATGGGAAAAGTTTAAGTTAATCTATAAATTTAAATTACTTCATGGGCTTTAAAAGGGTTAATTGTGTTGCACTCTTGGTTTCACTCAGAGCCAAAGCTCTGAGCTACTTATATTGCCCACTGAAAAAAGTAATTGTTGAGCATTTCAGTCATGCCAAGAGCCGCTCAACAATAACATATGGTAAATCTACATTTTTATTCTTTAAGTTATGCCACATTTTGAAATGTGAGTGATAATGTGCTTAATTCCTGACAATTTAGTGTAGAATATCCTGCTTGAAATAAAATTTAGCATCAACATTATCCATGCCTATTCTCCTGTCATTTCAAAAGTGAATGTTGAGCTTTGTCTGCATGCTCAGACAAACACCATGATTCGCAATTTATATAATATAATTTTTGTTTGTTTACAGACAGAAAATTGATTTCTATATTCCAAACCATCTTTTATAATTTAGTTACACACATGAAAGATATTTTGCCATATCCAACTGAAAGATTGATATTAGTCATTCATGAAACTATTCTTTTTCACTTTATATCCTATATATAAGTTATATTTTCATACCTGGGAATAGTTGAGTATCTGGGAAACTGACTCCGAAACAAACAAAATACGACCTCTGTCACAACTTACAACAAACAAAAAACCTTCAGCTGCCTGTAACAGGAAACATAAAGAATGTTACCACATATATTTCCCGTACTGAAAAAAGAAATTCACTGAATACTCAGCTCTCTTATATCCAGTAGAAAAAAATTCAAGGGATGACACACCTGAAACAAATGAAGTCAAATACAGAAATATTTTGTGAATTAATCAGCAGCTATATTTCTCAAGCAAAAGGAAAAGAAAAACCTAAAATACAGTGTAATAAAACTAAGAGTTCCAAATATTTTATTGAAAACAGTGACATGCAAATAGGTGTGTATCTGCAGCAAATAATTGTACAACTTAGTTTTTCAGATATTATGTGCATCAATATATTAAAGTACTATTATTATTGTTCACATAATGGTCTCAGCACTTTCAATTCCTAGAAGTTTCTGAAAACTCTTCATTCCCAGAGTAAGTTTAAAGTTTCGGCAACTGCCATTTTATTTCACTTAAAAAACTGTTACAAGGTTTCTCTACATTTATTACAAATTCTGAGATGTAAACCAGAAGATGGCACCACACAGTACAGATTTAAAAGGAAAAGTACTGACATTTCCAGTTTATCACTACTCTTAAAAGTTTTATTCCAATGCTGTAAATAGTAATTTCACGAGTGAAAAGTTAACATTTTCCTAAATTGAAAATGTAGTTCCAATAATATTTACCTCCACTGACACTTTAGCTATTCCTTGACATTAATTTTGCCTATCTAAGCATTGGTCTTGCATGCTCCAGTTCTTTATACCCCACTTAAATGCCCTTGGCAATATCTAATTTGCAAATCCCTCTACCTGCATCAATGCATCCTCAATCCTGACATTGTATATAACAACATCACTAAGATAATATAATCACATATTTGGAGACTTACACCATCCCAATCACTAACACCAGCTCTTAGTGGGGAGGAAGGGCAGGAGAGTGTCAGCGGAGTTAAGTATCATTGGAAATACATGTCAATTTAGAAAATGTTAACTTCCAAAACATACTTACCCTCCACTGCCACTTTAGCTAGAATCCCACATTGAGAAGGTGGATGGGCTGGTGAGGACACTGTCCATACAGAACAGGGGTGTAGCAAATAAGAGTAGTACCCAAGAGGGGAAATCACACTACATCCAGAACAGGTAAGCTCTTCACTCAGAACTTAATATTGGTATCAAGGGTGGAATAGTACATGGGTAATTATTATAGGCCAGCCCAAACTAGATAGCCGAGGTTTCACAACTCGGAGTTGGAAATAATGCGTCTTGGTCCCCACATCCCATATTAGTGGCTAGGGCAATTGGACTGTAATGTTATATAGAGATCTACATTTGATTGGATCCCAACTTGTATCCATAGACTGATGCCTTCTGAACTATCAGAATTACAATGAGAAAAGAAGCAAAATTGAAGTGTACAAACTTTATCTTCCACCTGCAAAAGTCTAAAAGGCACTACTCCAGGCTCGGAATGACAGGATCCTGTATGCCTTACTCAAACAAAGGAACAGAACTCATCAAGTCTGAAATTATGAACATTCATCCTCACTCTCCAACTGAGTAGTATTCCATCCTCTTGCCCCGGAATTTATGAGGAGATAGTGGACCTCCATCCACAAATAATATACAGCCTGACATTGTTCATAAGAAGGGACAAGGAAACCCCAACCCGATAACGTATGATCAAATCTAAACCAGTATTATCAACATCTGGGAAATACGTCCAAGGTTGGAGGGCCCCGAGCTTTGCCCTCTGCTCCAACAGTGGAGGAACACACTTAAACACTCTGTAAAAAGTCTCTGTCCACCACCCCAGCGACTGGAAATTGGGTGTGGTAAGGACTACCTAACTCCACTAGTAGAATCTGGGGAGTAATGAGCATTGGGGAGTCCTGAGGAACAGTGCTCTGGAAACAGTGCAATATGTGAACCAAGTTTCCTAAATTTTTAAAAGCAAACTGACCCCGAATTATTCAATCGACAATCAGTAGGGACAGACAGAATCCCTTTTAGCTTTACTCATGATAGTCCATGAATAGCAGTCCATGATAATATGGTAATACCATCCAGTAGTGTGCCTAGATGGTCTTATGGAACACCTCATTTCTACAAAGCCTGTTGCAACCAGAACTAAGTATAGTCAAATTGGTTCCTAGTGTGGAATTGGACTGATAACAGCACACTTGTCTGGGCAACACTCGCCACAGAGTGGGATCCGATGAAAGCAAGATGTATGGGACCCTGAAAAAGAAAGACAAAATTACTCCTTCCTCCATATAATCTAGCAGATGTAACAATAGCCATTAGGGGTAGTGGAAAAACCCCAGAGAAGAACTGCCAGATCATATAAATAATGTGAGAGAAAAGCATTAGAAGTCCACATACAAGCCCATAAAATGTCCCCCAGTGAATCAAAGACATAAATGTGTTGAAGCTGATGAAATGTAACTCTCAGGAGATTCCCTGCCTGGATATTCACAAAATCGCCTCCAAGTAAGTGGGCAAAAACCTATGGAAACGAGAACTACCACCACCAAAGGAGTTAGAGTGAGCCATATAACACTTCTGGGCCTGACAGGACAAAACCAAATGATCAGTGTACGATCGATTTTAGAGGTGAGAAATAGTAACCAGAGACTGAAAAAGAAAGGACCTATCAAGGTATAGAAGAACCTAAGGAGAGAGATAAAGAGTCCTACAAACATGTCAACAACACCAACCAATGACATCAGTATGACAGCAGCAAGAGGTGATACATAGTACATGACGCTATAGGCATCACCTTTAAAACATGGGAAGCTGGAAGGGTGAAAAGATAGGACTAGTCCCAAGAAAGGACATCCAAAATTCGAAAATAAGAAGCAATAAACCATATGCCTCCTTGATGAGAAACATAAGACACCACCTTGGAATATTCAAGAGTGAAGCCTGATTATTTACCCCTTAATAAGACCAGACCATGAGGCCTTGCATGTTGTTTTTGTTTTGAATTTTGCACAAAGCTATACAAGGGCTATTTGTGCTAACCGTCCCTAATTTAGCAGTGTAAGACTAGAAGGAAGGCAGCTAGTCATCACAACCCACTGCCAACTCTTGGGCTACTATTTTACCAACGAATAATGGGATTGACCGTCACTATATAATGCCCCCATGGCTGAAAGGGCGAGCATGTTTGGTGTGACAGGGATTCCAACCCACAACCCGCAGATTGCGAGTTGAGCACCATAACCACCTGGTCATTCCGAGCCACCTTGCATGTTGACAAGCAAAATGGACAAAAACATTGTGTAGTGAATCTTCGTTATCCATGGTATATGTACCCCATCCCTGAAGCAAGGCATTCATGAAGAGAATGGAACTTTGGACAAGGTGGAAGTAGAGAAACCCAAATCGTAGTAGTGTCCCAACTTAACAACCCCTTGAGATCGAAGAATGATCCAGACTAAGACCTATAAAAAAATCGTTTTTGTTCTTGTCCCAAAGGCAGGAAGGATTCGAGAGATGCTCACATTCCCAGAAGAGGAAGAACCATCTATGAGAAAAAGAGGTAAGAGTGTGGTGTCCTGTTCTACAATGTTAAGTAGGATGGGAGACAGCTTTGATGACATATTGAATTGGAGCAAGAATAGATGTCACTTCACTGAAATGTGGGCCTACCTGGGTTGTATTTGAAAGTAGAATCAGGATGTGATGGTCTAACAGTTGATGAGATGGTGCCAGCAGTAACTGTCCGTGGAATGGTGTGTGTGCACAGTATGATGGAATGAAGGGGATAAGAAAAAAAAACTTATATCATACAGCAGAACCCATGAGAAGCTTATGCGAGTCTGTAGGGAAAAACCTAGAACTGCAGCACCTGACCCTTGAGCACCACAAATGCTGATAGTGGTAGGTCTCCACCACTAAGGCAAAGTGCAGATAGGAACCAACTACAACAAAGTTGTACATCTACAATCCCAGCAAAATCCCAGGCATTGATATAGACAAGGAAGATCAATAACTGAACACCAATCTCCTGTCTGCATAAGCCCAACAACTAACAGGAATAAAAACTCTGAAGAACTAGCCCGACTCTCACACTACCCTCAGACTAGCCAAACTCGGATAACCCTACAGGTTGGGTGGATAATAGTGGAGAAGATGTGAACTGCACGACAAATTATGACCCAAGGACCAGAAGAGCTCCTGGACCCATAGTTAAGGTTACCACATGTCCAGAAATTCTTGGAACCAAACCCCCAAAGCCCATGAAGGTATACAATAATCACTGATGCTGCTGGAGATCCAACTAAGCAGTGGAAACCTTGGATATAGACAGGATCTATTCTGAGTACTAATACCAAGGGGCTGACATCGGGGGTCATGACTCACAAACAGGGGTGGAACTATTATCCTCTGTAGGGACCAATGAAATTCGAGACTCCAACAACAACCAAGAGGAATGTAGAAGCCAAAAACTGAATCAATGTGCATGCTAACAAGGGATCCAGCTCATCATCAATTAAGCTGGTGATCCTGAGAGTTTTCTAACAAAGTGAAGTGAAAAGAAACAAAATGTTTAATTTGTGTTGTAAGTCCATATACTTACTCTGTCCCATCAGGGAACACAGACCTATGTAGGTGAACTACACACTTCGCCTTAAAACCCCGAAATTCAAGGAGCAGATATATTATTGGAAAGTCGGAAAAATGCCTCCACATGGAAGTTCTGACATGTTGGTTAAGGCCTAACTGTCCCTTTACGTAACTAAGAAGTAAACCTTCCAGCATGAAACACAATATCTGTATTTGGAGGAAAAACAAAATTTGCTCCCAGACCTTTCAGCCATCAAGTAAGTTGCAGACTCTAAAGCAACCAGCCTAAAATATCACATGCTCGAAGAACCAACAGAAAAAAAACAAATCAAAGGCAGCTTATCCCAAAGTGGCCTCCTCTTCATTTTACATAGGTCATATAAATACTGTGTTGATTACCATTGATTAGAACAGCATTTTGTGAGGTAAAGTAAGTTGTTTTGTTAGAGCAAAGTAACTTTGGGCCATCTGCTGTATTCACCCCAGGGAATCAAATCTCAGACACTAGATACAAGAGGTAGGAGGGGAGAGACCTAATTTGCCTCTGTGCTGGAAATAATAATCCAGGTATTCATACTGTAATCAACTTACATATTGGAAAAGGAAATTTTTTAAATTATTATTCTTACTAAAATCAAATAGATAACACGATTACGTTCAAAGTATCTCCGAATGATCGTAATATTGGGAAACCTGTTAGTGGCGCTTTGTCGAGAAAATAGTGATAAAATTATCTGAATGAGGTGCTTATATACAGTACCAGGATAGAGGGCATATTGACATAGGTGGAGAGTATTACGAGACAAATATCACCAAGGGCAATTGAGTGGGGTATGAAAGACTGGAGCAAGCGATATGAAATCAGACTCTTAGATGGGCAAAGAAGAAACCCTGGCATTCGAGTAATAGCTATAAGTGTCAGCAGAGATAAGTATATTTTGGAATTAAGCTTTATCTATTTTTCTTCTTACAGCTTAAAAGTATGTTATTAAATAATATCTGCAGTGAACATTCATAACTTACTTCTAAAATTAGGTACTTTAGTTCCTCATCCGAGAGAAAAGAAGGTTTGTAATGACCTTCTGTATAAGAATTTATGGAACCTGTAAAAGAATTAAAAGAAATTCTCACCTAATATGAAACATGAATATATTTATAACAGTGCATATACTATCAAGAAATAAAATATCAAAATTTAGTTCATTAAAAAGCTGTTAAGCAACAGCTAAGCTGAGGCTTGTAGTTTTGAACTGATAGCATTTTATATGATTAATACTGGAAAAGTGTTTTAGTTTACCTATATTTAACTTCATATTTGATCACCTGATGCTGAATAAAGAATATTCTTAGAAATCATGTAACATAGAAGTTAAGATGTTTCTGTCCAAAAGTTGTCAATTCTTTGATTACATTTTCATTTGATAAGTGAATTAAATTTTTCAATGAATAATTAAAAGGAATTATCAAGTTTTAATCAAACATGAAATCTAAAATGTATATATACATTCAATATACTCTCAACAATTCAATACAAATATATATATCTTTTGGAACACTTATCTTTACAACCTTTCTTTCCTGTTACTTTTTTTTTCTTTTTGCACTCTTTATGAAACAAACTTGATGCTAATATGGATAAGATCAACTTTGGTGACCAGAGCTACAACATCATCTGAAACTGAAGAGCTTGGCCCTCACACCCATACTGATCAAGAGAACAAAATTAGATATTTAGAGAGACGAGTACATTACAACTCTTTACAATGATGATTCTTCATAATGTTTCATAACACAGTGTGTCCCAAAAACTGACCTCATAGAAAATGAGACTTTTCATATAAAATGCTAGTCTCATTTCCTTACTTGGTCAAACTTATAAAATACCTATATTTATAAGTGCTAACAAAACAGAGTATGAAAATCTACTACAAGGATCCACAATGTCTCTAAAATATTGGTACAAACAAGTATTTGTCTTTAGAATTTATTCATTAGATTGATGTATTCTCTAAAAAATATATGATATGTATATAAGTACATGAATGACATGCAGATAACAGCATGCCCACCTAGGAATTACCAAGTTTCTGAATAAGACAATCTGACCAAGTTTCCTTTTTAAATATGGAATGAAAGTCTGGATGTACAAAACTTTTATAACACATATGACAAGAAAATGCAGTGTGCATACCTACACTGACAAGGAAGACAATCATTTCTTCTTGAGATTGTATTTAGTTCTAACCCTTTCTTTCTTACAGTATCAATTACAGTAGAACCAAACACGATAATACCAAAGACACTGTTTCATCTAAGGATGATGCTGTCATTGAGGAGAATCCCAATGTGTTTCCCTCGTGTGCTGTGACTCGAGCTCAGGCTAAGAAATTAAGCCAAATCAAATGATAGTCATGAATTCAGAGGACGATATTATAGATTTGTCTCAAACAGTTTTTGGATCCGACAGGGATCTTATGGATGATTGTCCTACTGACAATACCTCAGTGAGTGACAGTTATGGACATAAGAGATCTGATTCACCCAGTGAAGTTTCATTTACTAAAAGTAAACTGTTCCCTGAGCAACAAAAGGATCTGCAGATCTCTTCACTATTTAAGTATGCACTCTCAAAAGATGAACTGGAGAAAGTTCCAAATGGGTATTTTTCAAAAATGCTATGCTTATGAGGAAATGGAGACCACCAGATGTCCCAGCTTCTGAGGACTGGACTATTGTTTATCAAATCGTTGTTTCCAAAGCATATCATTCTGAAATATTGAAAGTTGCCCATGCATTTACAAAGTTCTAACATTACAAATCATTTAACTTCAGTGGATTCTTATCAGACATTAGTATTTTTATAAAAACATTATATAACTTCATCGTGGAAAACTCAGCATGTGTGGCTGGTGAATAATGAAGGACAAAGCTAGCTAGCTCACCGTTAAGCAAATTGTATCTACATCAACTCGTAATAAACTCATTCATCGTGAACCCCCGATAAGATATCAAGGAAGTTCCAGACTAGAAAGAAGACTTTATATTGCTTGTAAACTTTTTGTATATAAATCATTGTGTGTAATAACTATTTGTAATAACTGTTGTTGTAAATTGTATTGTTGTTTGTATAGTAAAACATATTTGTGTCAAAAAAAG